AATCATATGATGGAATTTTTCTAAAGTCTATGAGCCATAGCTTTAAGTGAAACTTATATTACCTAAAGCTATGAGCCATAGCTATAAGTGAAACTTATATTACCTAAAGCTATGAGCCATAGCTATAAGTGAAACTTATATTACCTAAAGCTATGAGCCATAGCTATAAGTAGAAACTTATATTTCTAAAGCTATGAAGCCATAGCTATAAGTGAAACTTATATTACCTAAAGCTATGAGCCATAGCTTTAAGTGAAACTTATATTACCTAAAGTCTGTGAGCCATAGCTTTAAGTGAAACTTATATTACCTAAAGCTATGAGCCATAGCTATAAGTGAAACTTATATTACCTAAAGCTATGAGCCATAGCTATAAGTTGTGATAAATGCACTTTTACATGTCCGGCGAAAGAAATCGGTAGCTCGTGCACGCCAAAGAGACAGCCTGTCTATGGCTTATAAGACACTTTATTTTACATTGTTATCACAATTTATAAAGATCTATGAAAACAGTCGTTCCCCAATAGAAGGACATATTACAAATACGAAACTAAACCACGGATGGTGAATTGTGGGTATTCAAGTTGTGTCCGTTAGACATCCTTGTGTTTTAATTAGAATTTCTGCTAAACTGATTACCAGTATTGATTAGGTATAATTGGATCTCTTTTAGTATGAATACACTAAAGTTCAAGGAGAGAACTGGAATTTCCATCCTGAATTCCACCTTATAGTCACATGGGCTAAACTATCAGGTCCTTGTACTCTAGGGTTCGGGCAAAGCCATCCCTAATTTTGAATTGCTGACAAGAGGGAAGATAGCCGTCCAGCGGCACGTACTGCAACGAGGGATTTGTTTGGTTTTTTGAACCAAATAATGCGATTGATGTCGTTTTTATAAATCTCCCACAGCTGAAAATGCAGAACGTGTCCAGTGGCATTATATTTGAACCTCGGAATTTTCGATCCACAGCCTGGTACATTAACCACTAGGAAATTTATGCATAGATATTGTATTTCAAGGTTTTTAACACATAGGTCCAGTTGATTCTCGGATCAGCTATGACATTCAGAGATACTCCAATGGTTAGAGGTGTTAATTTTGTAGGTCGAACATTTTAATATTATATATTATTATTATTAGCAAAAGTACAGAGTTTAGAGTGAAAATATGTCACGTGATATGTCACGTGGTTCACAGAAATTGTTTGAAAGAGGTGTGCTATAAAATCAATAAAACTGTTGTTTTTTTTGTAGTTGTAGATAATTTTTTTGGCCACATCAATCTTTAGAGAGGGCGAGGGAGGAAGAAGCTTATTCGATGTACTAATTATGATAATGAAATATCTAATTTCAATATAATAATGATATTTATTTTTAACCACTTCTTGAAGGTTAACGTCATGTTAGGGATGGACACTATGATAACCTCGGCTGATCCTAGTTTATCAACTGTAGAAAAATATATATATATATATATATATAGTTAAACATAGCTTTCTTTCTTGAAATATCTTTAACCAATTCGTATTTGATCACAAACATTCTGGAAGTCTCCGGTTACTGTAGTTAACTTGTCTCGAAGACAACAAATCCAATCAAGTATCTGTTTTTACCTATCAGATTACGTTCAAACTAATAATTTACCTAATGAAATCCCAACACTTTTGTCAGATGGATCTTTAGGTCCTTGCTTCACTCCTGAAGAAGACAGGTTCACTGTCGAATCTTTAGGAGTTTTTTAAATACAATTTTTATCATATTATTTTATTCTATGACTTTTGTTTTGTTTTAACTATCATGAAATTACCCAGTGGTTATTTTGACCATTGTTCAGGGATGCTAAGGTCAAACCATCACCCGCCAGCATGTCAAACTCCAGCTTTTCACTTCGGAGAGCAGCAAGAGTGGTCCAGATGATAGCAGGATCTTCTCCAACAACAAGATGTTGACACATTCCACTCAAGTACATGTTTATAGAATCAAACAGGAATTTATCGCATTGCCGTTATCGGTCCTGGTTGTTAATTTATTGTCACAGCGGATAATGCGTTGGGGATATCCCATCTATCAGTCCAAGTCCAAACGCTGATGTTAATCTAGTCATCCGTCATGGAAAATTAAATAAGGGTACGAAGCTGAGTGCTTACATCCACAACGCCTCAGCTTTTACTGCCTTTCACTGTCTACAGCCAGTTGTGGGAAAACAATTATCCTTAAATATCTTGAAGTAGAAATGAAGCCACCCTAATATTTCTATTAATTAAACTCCCAACCTCTACCCTTACAAAAATATATTAAATAGAACTATAAGATATTAAATAGAACTAAATAAAACTATAAGATATTAAATAGAACTAAATAAAACTATAGGATATTAAATAGAACTAAATAAAGTTAAAAGATATTAAATATAACTAAATAAAACTATAAGATATTAAATATAACTAAATAAAACTATAGGATATTAAATAGAACTAAATAAAGTTAAAAGATATTAAATATAACTAAATAAAACTATAGGATATTAAACAGAACTAAATAAATTATAAGATATTAAATATAACTAAATAAAATTAAAAGATATTAAATATAACTAAATAAAACTATAAGATATTAAATAGAGCTTCTAAACCCTACCTTAAAAGTTCTTACATAGTTCTTACTCCCAACATCCCCCCCTTTTCTCCTGAAGATTTATTCAAGTATAACAAGGGAACGCCGAGACAAGCCCAGCTACTTGAAGTTAGTCTTTGCGTCCCAGTGTACTGAATAACATTATTTTAAAAAATTGCTATAAGCTACTTTTAAATCAAAGTAACTAACGCCCTCTTTATTATAGCTTTGAGCATAATTAAAAACAAACAAACCTTAATCGATAATTTAGTTTCTAAAATATTTTTGTATTCATTTAAAAAATAACAAATATTTAGGCTGACTAGATTACCATCGGCGTTTGGATTTTATCTGATAGATGGGATATCCCCAATGCATTTGGGTGCTATT